CACAGTTCACTGAGACAGAGTCAGAGGTGATGTGTTGCACTCTGTCAGGACTCACTGTGAGAGACGCTGATGGATGAAAATCTGAAAAACAACATGTAATAATGGATCAAACAGAGACAGTGGTCTTAAGATTAATAATGTCATAATGCAAATATTCAGTTGCTTTTATTGCTGAGGATTAGTGCAAACATTGCAACAAAGGTGCAGCGTTTTGGTTAAACTATAAATTAAATCTGAATATCTGAAACTATTTAAATGATAATACAACAAACTAACAACACTGCTCGTCTGTAAAGTGGGAAACGTCCTGCCTTTAACTGCAACATGTTCTGCAAGTATCCAAAGTAAAAGTACTCATTGAAAGAGTTTCAGTCAACGTCTCATATCTCTCTTTTTACGTTTTTCATGATAAAGTTAAAGTGTTACCACAGTCAATGCATTACTTCTATTGGGGAGCATGAACATACACAGCCAATTTTTTGTCAACAAAGGTGTTAGTTTTCAAGGTACTTAAAAATAGATGAGCCGAGGTGATAAAACAACATCTGCTTCTTGAGAGGACAGACAGAAACAAACTGACCTCCAGACCAGACAAACATAGGTTTACTGTCCTGAGAGTAATACACTGGATCTCCTCTTCCAGCTCTGCACATATATCCTGCTGTGTGTATCTGTCCATGTACGATGTAGGAATCCTGTTCAGTCCCATTGCTGCTGCCAGGTAGCAGCTCATAGCTGTAGTTGGATGATAGATCAGGAACAGCCTTATACCAGTAGAACCTCCATCCTGCAGATGGATGTTCAACCTCACAGTTCAGAGTTACAGAGTCTCCAGGACTCAGCCATAATGGAGACACAGTGAGCTGAGGTTCTGTTGGAAAGTGATTTTTCAGAATGTAAACATGTATCAATAGTGGATCAAATGCATCCTGTACAATCAGTACATACACATACACATATATCAACCAAACAACCATTTAGTGAACTGTATAATATTAAAATAAATATGATGAGACTTACTGTCAAATACTGTCAATTTGATGGGATCACTCCACTCTGTTGAAGACTGTTGAGCATGTTTCATTCTGCCCTTACAGCTGTACTCTCCACTGTGGGATACAGTAGCAGACCGAATGCTGTGTTCATTTTGATTTGAAGGTTTTTCTGAGCTGGGTGTTTTCCATTCATACGTCCACTGAGTGTCTCCTCCTCCCTGGATTTCACATCTGAAAGTGATCGTCTCACTACTGAATATCTGAGGCCAGTTGGGCTGAAGGGTCAAACTGGCCCTGTTGGAAACTGTTGACATCAAATACAAACAGGATTAAAAACTAACCAGATATAATGCAATCATTTTCTGCTATAATCTTTATATTAAACATTTAAAAAATCATATCAACATCTCCACCGTTAAAGCACAACCATTCTAATGTTGCAAATTGTTTAACAGACACTACTCACAAGGTCACTAAAGTGTCAAACAGTATTAATCGTAGCAACTGCTGAAGGAATACATGAGCTCACAGTAGCGATCACAACAGTCTCCCACCGGATACATTTAGTACAGAGACTTGACTGTTTGACCCCAGCAATATGGAAAAACATTTTGGCGTAAGTGTTGTGCTTTATGTCTAGTGGTTAATAACAAATGGTTTCAATAAATTGTCTATTAACAAATCAGCAAAGTTTTACTCAACATTAGGATTTAAAGTTTATGGAACTTACAATCCTAATAATTTGTTAAGAAAATTGTGATTTGGCATCAGTAACATTTATTTTTACCTTCCAGCACAATCTGTCATCACTAACCCTGTAAATCTAGAGAAATCTCAACAGTTTTTCGGCTGTGTGTGTTCACTCTACCTTCCATTTTTGTCATTTTCTTCTGAACACTCATTTGCATCACTCCAAATTTCTCAAAAAACACACCATGAGGTGTAAATACAACAGAGAATAATCAAAATTTACTATTGGAATATCTTATTAAAGGACATTTTTGTGAAGTGATATTAAAAATGTGGTATTTTAAGTAGTACAGTATTTATTATTGTAATTCATTAAACTATGCCACACATGTTAAAGTCCAGAAAAAGATAGGAATGATAGGAATATTACAGTTACTGTTGACTAATGTTCTGTTTTTTTCATAATTAAGTAGGCACTTCTGACAAATATTACAGATTCTATTTTCTTTTTCAGTCACTGGGGAAGAGGGACCACAAACAAAGCTCCACCCTCCTTCTGACAGTCCACCTGTTCAGCTCCAGACACATGATCATTTTTAATTTATGTTCTTTTTTGCTACTGTACCAAAATGAGTATTTTCTTTACTACTGATCACAGATTTTAATAATGCATATTCTTTTATTCCAGAAGAAATAACTAAACTCACCAGTTGCCTGAATGGTGACTTTATTGCTGTTCTCTGCGAAGAACAGTGGATCACCTCTTCCTCCTCTGCAGTGGTAGAGACCTCCTTGTGAGACACTGATAACTCTGTCTGGTACACCATCCCTTATGAGCTGAGCTTCAGAAGAGTCTGATGTACGTTTGAACCAGTAGTATTTCCAGTCAAAAGAGCCCCAGACATAACAGGTCAGTGTCACAGTGCCCCCTACTGGTATGATGGTATTGTGTGCTGTCAGTGTGGTCTTAGGTTTATTTGCTGTTCAGTTTAGAGAAAAAACAAAAACAGGTAAATAACTTGAAGAATTTCCCTCAGAAAAATGTTGTTGCTTCATAACATAAACATAAAAATATTCACCATAACAGACTTATAAATAACCATACTCTTTGAACAATAAATCATTATAAACTGTGCGTGCGTCACATGACACTCCTTCATCAATAATACAGTCGTTACCACAAAGCTAACTAGTTGCTGTTGATGTATTATTAGTGCAGTTTTTCAGTGGACACAGAATAGCTATGGTGATCATGTGATGCATGGTTACCATATAAAAATGTTCACAGCTAGTAGGTAAAAAGGTGTCCTGTTGGTGAGTTCAGCACAGATTCAGTGCGCTTTTTAATCACTTGGACTTTAACTGTGTAGTTCTCTGTCCTTACCTGTGAATCATTAGAATTGAACAGTACAATGTATGCTGGTTTCTCTAAAGTTATTCTGTTTTCACACCAAGGAACACAATTCCTTACTTCTGTTCTGTAAGCGACTTCATTATTATTGTTAGAGGGATAAATGTTTCCTGTGGCTTTATTTGTATGGATAAAAGCATAAAAGCATGTAATTTTCCATGTGAAAAACAGACTTACGTGATACCTTCAATCTGATGACATCACTCCACTCTGTTGAGGAATATGAGTCATTTCTACCCTTACACCTGTATACTCCACTGTGGGACACAGTAGCACTGATAATCCTGTATTCACTTTTTGTTGGAGACTGTGAGTTTAATTTGTCTGGTTTCCATTCATACGTCCACTGAGTGTCTCCACCTCCATCGATCTCACATCTTAGAGTGATCGTCTCACCACTGAATATCTGAGGCCAGTTAGGTTGAACGGTCAAACTGGCCCTGTTGGGAACTGTTGACATCAGAAATGTCCAGTTAGGAAACAAACAGGATTAAAAACAAACCAAGAACAAAAAAAGAACAAAATACAACTCAACATTTACAGTTCAAAGTACTCAAAGGTCAGAGGTCAGCTCAAGGGTCAAAGTGCCAAGCAGTGTTAACAGCAGATGCTGAAGGGATAAAAGGGCTCAAAGAGAGTCACAGCACTCTACCAAATTCCAAAATATGGGTAGCCTTCCACAGGAGGCATTTAGTAAGCTTGTCTAATATCAAGATCGTCTAGATTAGGCTGGTTACTGAAAATTCACAAACAGTTTAAATCCGAGGAACAAGTTAGAACCTGTTAGTTATATAACGTTAAGATTTTAAGGTTATGCAACTAAAATCTTAATCAAATAAAGATTTATTTAATTTGTCATCAATAACCCTGTAAATCTAGAGAAAAAGATGTGCTATGAGCCACCTCAACTTCCTTAGATTAACAACTACTGTATTAGTAGTAGCATTGTATAACTTTTTAATTCAGAACACTCAGAAACTCTCACACCAAAGCATGTAGAACTGCAGATCCACTAAAGGATACCGTATCAGTCTCACAGTTTGTCTCACTCAGAAGTGAAAAGACACACAGACTATCACCCAAGAGACTGCTGTTAGAACCCTGAGTGAAACCAAAAGTCCACATTGATTTAGTCAGATATGATATTTTCCTAAACCCAACCAAGTAGATTTTGTTGCCTAAACCAAACTGCAAACTCAGCTAGCTTTATTTTGAAAGTGTAACTGCACATTGCGTATTTATTACTGCTAAAACATGACCCTACCCTGGTAGACCAGTGTGTGTGTGTGTGTGTGTGTGTGTGTGTGTGTGTGTGTGGGCAGGGTTTGGTCTGATGCTGGGTTAACAAAAAGGAAACTAATAGAGGAAATATATTCATCTTTCATCATTGAAATATATCAAACAAAACAATACAGAAGCCATCCCTACTATTTAAAATCTAGAATAAAACAAGAAAATCCATCTCGGCTACAGTAAAACATTCTGCAAAGTTATTTAATGGGGATTACACACAATTCTTACCTGATTACAGATATTTGTGATTACAATTATGTCTGTACACAAATACAGAGATCAAACAAATAGCCCATTGTCACCATGACGAAGAATATAATATATTTTTAAAACTTTTCTCAGAGAAGTAGAGGCACTGGGCCAACATAATTTCTTCATTAGGGTTCTTTTTTTCTTCTGACAATGGATTTCTGCCACACCGTAGGCAGCTGTTGTGGTGGTAATCTAATCATTTTATAATTTGATATCATTGAGTAAAATGATACGTATATGAAAGAACACAAATGCAAAAGACGGAAGTGAACAAGAGTGAAACAGCAGGTGATAAATAGAAGATAAATAATGAATGAATAAATATTCTTTAAAAAACTGGGAAAAAAACAATTGGTCACCTTCAGCATGTCCGTAGGGGAGTGTATTCAGCACTAAAATAAAGATTAAAACTTCATCAGACCATATTAATTGGCATTTAAAATCCAGCTATTGTTCAGTCAATTAACAGTATCAAACATTTCTGTGATGATATTCTGTGAGTTATTAAAGAGGTAGGATACAAATAAAGAAAATTACTTTTTTTAAATGAAATATATAAAATAAAATAAGCAATACATTTAAATCGAGAGGTACAATAACTTAGACCAGTGGTTCTCAAGCCGGGGGTGTTCCACAGACAGTTATCAGAAAAATGGGGAATATTCTAATTTCATCATTATTTCATTGATGTGAAGTTAGGCCAATGAGAGACTGTAAAATAATGACTCATCTGTTGGTTTCACACTCTTCACTGTTAATCTGCCAATCTACAGTATAGAGAATTATGGAATAACCAAATCTTATCAGATGGGGATCGCAAATAAAAATAAAAATAATTGTCTGCGGCTTGATTTGTATCAATTTGTCAGTCCTTGAAACCAAAAAGGTTTGAGAACCACTGCCTTAGACCACATACTCTAAACCAAACCAAATCAGTGGCCAAGACAAAACTACCATGATGAGAAACGTCTGCCTCCGTAAGTAACAAAATAAAAAAGTCACTGATGTACTCACAGAGTAACCCCAGCACACAGAGCAAAGTGTGCCCCATCTTCACATCCAGCACCGACACTGTCGCTCTGCTGCTCTGCTTCTGAGAAATGTTTCTACTTTGCAATAATAAAGCAGAGAGAGAAAGAGAAGTTACATTAAACAAAAGTTATGTGAGCAGAACTTTTCTCCAAAGTCTCCTCATGAGTACAGCCTCATGTCTGTTCTTCCTTCCCTTTTGCACAAAACTCAAACGGCAGTGGCTTTAACCACATTTGACGTGTTCACACCTCCTGCCCACTACCTGCCTGCTTGTCTGTGCAAAGGTTCTTTCTGGTCCCTAAAAAAATATCAAATAAAAAAAATAATGAACAATAAGTAATTATTGCAAATCTTTCAAAGTTGAATTCAATCATATCACACCATATTCTAACTGACATTTTATTTTTTAATTTATTGTTTTATTTGCCAACTGTTCTTGCATCCACAGTCTCTATATTGCAATAAGATTAGTGTATGGTTACGTATGTTGTATGTATATTCTATACAGAATTCAGACACCTTCACCTTTTTCACATTTTGTTGCAGCCTTATGCCAGAATCAGTCAAAATTATTTTTCTCTCATCAATCTACACTGAATGTCCCCCTAATGACAAAGTGAAAACAGGATTTTAGATTTTGTTTTTGCAAATGTGTTGAAGACAAAAAACAAAAATGTCACATTGACAAAAGTATCCAGACCTTTTCCTATGACATTTTGTTTCGGTGCCTCCCATTTCTCTTGATCATCTTCAAGATGATGAATTCTCAGAGACAAACATTTCCTTTGGTTCTCATGACATCAATTCATCTTCGCCCAAGCTCAGTCACTTCCTCTGGGTGAAGTTGTGGCCAAACCTGAAACCAAGACTAACCAACTCAACTTTATTTATAAAGCATCTTTGTGCAGCCCAGAGCTTCACAAAGCAAAATCGAAAACAATTAAGGCAAAAATATAAAAACAAAAGTGAGCAACAATAAATGAAAATTAAGAGTTAAACTTAATGTGACTTTTTGATTTAAGCTGAAGAATGAAAATATTTTCTCTGTCTCTGTTGGGTGAAAAGTCCAAGGAATACAAAGTATAATACCTGGTTTCATTGTCCCTTTTAAAACTGTGCTGTAAACAGATAGACACTTCTTAATTTGAGACACAACAGGTTTTATTACCCAGAACAGTTTGAACATTACTGGAGGTCTGAGGATCAGCACCTTGAACAGCGACAGGCAGTAACACAGCAGAGTGTTTTTTTAAAGCTGAACAAACTTTATTTCAGCTGAACATGAAATAAAAGGAAGAATATTCTGTGAATTTCACTATAGCTTCACAGTAGCCTTGTTGTTGTTGCCTCTACATAGATAATTTGTTCTATGATTCTTTAATATGTTAAATAACTTAACATATACATTGTCAACCAATTCTTGCTGACGTTGCTTCTCTCTTACTCCATGCTGCTTGCCACAGTATTGGAAATCACAGCCCACTCTGCTGGACAAACTTTGCAGTTACACCAATAGTTTGCCACATTTTTTATCATATAATATAAATTATATAAATATATTTTGTTATTATATACCGTAAAAAATCGTTATATAGTTATACCGCATAATGGATAACATAAACACTGATACGTATATGTCTGTGATAGGCCTATACCAATATATTACTCAGGCTCTAATTGAAATTATTCATCATACATGTTGTTGTTGTAGACCACACAAACTTAGTCACCCACATAGTCACCTTGGTATGGACATGTATATGTCTGTCCACTGCAATTCATGCAATAAAACTCCTCTGCCCTGATTCTTTGACAATTAGAGCCTGCTGACCCAAACCAGTTAAATATCCTAGCCTAGCCTTTCTCATTGCAAATAAAACACAATTCCTCTAACACAATGTTTTGAATACAAAAATAATATGAGGAAGTGGGTGATGAATATTTCTCAATTTGAAACATCATGAGCAGACAACAGACAGAAGGCCAGAATATTGAATATGTGAAATTCCCACATTTTTAGTACTGCATGTCTGAGTATGTAGAAAGCTGTATTTTGATGCCATCACCTCACAGTGCATGTGCAAAGACCAACCAGTTCCAATCATTAGTGCAGAGCTGGGATGTGAACACTAAGTCAGTTGTTTAGTTTGAACACGTCGCTACCAGGAACTGAACCCTGGGAATGGAGCAAATCAAGATAATATGTTTAGTTGTGACAAAGTCAAAGAATATGAAGAGTTCAAAATAAAAAATAGGATGGCAGCCAAATTAGTAACAATGAATAACAATGTGTGGGCACTGAATGGCAGCTCTGCTACTAAACTCAGATCAGTGAAGCGAGTGATTTTTCAGTGATAATTTTTTGGTATTTAGCCTCTTAATAGTGCTGCCCATGTGTCAAAAAAACTAAAACAATTGAAAACTGTTGAAAAAAATAGTTTAATGATGTACTGAATTATTAAAAAATAAGAAATATAAAACATATTCAGGTGAAAATAATTTACTTACAGTAGCTATAAATACATTTGTAAAAAGACAGAGGAAAACATGTATGTAAAAAAATGCTGTTAAATAGCAGTTCATATGAATAATAGTTATAATAATAATAATAATAATAATAATAATAATAATGTTAAATCACAAGTCTCCTCCCCACCAGAATCACTGCCTCTCCTCTTTAAACCACTCCCCCAAGAATATATATTTCCACCCTTCAGATCTGATTTCCCTCTTTTGCCTCAGAACCTAGAAACAGAGAACCTGCTCAAGGTTTCTATGTTAAGAAGAGAAAAGAGAGAAAATCTGATTGTGGATGCAATAATGATATTAACAACAACCATAACAATGACAATAATCTAATATTGTCCACAAATGTGGAAATTTAAAATACAAACAATGGTAAATAAGCTCAATTATACTGTATCAAACTGTTTAAACAGCTTGCATTATTACGTTAAACGTTTCTGGCAAAAAAATTGAAAACAAAAAATATATAATACAGTGCATAAATACTAAATTGAAAAATGCCTCAGCCGTCTTGTGCTTTCTCCTTAAAGTACTTAAAGAAATAAATCCATATGATATGCTTTTATATAATCTGCTAATAAATGTTAACCTTTTGTCTTTGTCCATAAAGATCTCTTTACAGACCTGGGAGCCAACAACAAAAACACACGATGCCCTTGTGTTTCTTCACAACTGTGCAGTAACATGTAGCACAAAAGTACACACTAGTACAATATAATGCATGATGCAGTTTGTATGATGAGAGAGTAAAACCAATAAGACAAAAACAATTTAGTTTCATGTCATATCTGTGAGATGGAAATATATTGGAAACAAATGACACAGAACCAACAATAACAATCAAATATGAAACAGTTAATCTTAAAGTCTAAAAGGACATTTATATGTGTAACATTTTTCAAATTAAATAATAATAATAATAATACATTTTATTTATAAGCGCTTTTCTGGATACTCAAAGACAGTTTACATAAAGATAACATAAAAACAGCAAAAACTAAATAAAATGGTAAAAACACTAAAAACACATTGGACTAAGCTAAACATTAAAAGCAATTTTAAAAAGGTGAGTTTTTGTCAATGATTTGAACGCTGGAAGATCGGTGCAGTCACGGATTTGTTTGGGGAGAGAGTTCCAGAGGGAGGGGGCAGCTACAGAGAAGGCTCTGTTGCCCCAGGTTCGGTGCTTGGTCCAGGGTGGTGGGGTCAGAAGGTTTGCATCGGATGAGCGGAGGCTACGGGATGGATTGTGGCGATGGAGCAGGTCAGTGAGGTATGAAGGGGCCTGGTTATGGAGGGCTTTGTGTGTGAGGAGGAGGATTTTGAATTGAATTCGTTGTGGGACCGGGAGCCAGTGGAGGTTCTGGAGGACAGGGGTTAATGTGATCACGGGTGGGGGTGTGGATGAGCAGACGAGCAGACGAGCAGCAGAGTTCTGAATGTACTCGAGTTTATTTAAGGTTTTGGATGGTGTGCCGTAGAGGATGTTGTTGCAATAATCGATTCTGGAGGTTATGAAGGCGTGGATGGCGGTTTCTGCAGCGGAGAAAGAGAGTGATGGGCGGAGTCGGGCTATGTTTTTGAGGTGAAAAAAGGCAGTTCTGGTTATTTGGTTTATGTGATGTTCAAAGGAGAGGTTATTGTCAAAGATGACTCCGAGGACTGTGAAGAGATGGAGACAGGGTGGAGGTGTCGACAATGAGGGAGAAACTGTGAATGGTTTTAGTGATGGATTTGGGACCGATGATGATCATGTCTGTTTTGTTGCAGTTAAGTTTAAGGAAGTTGGTGTGCATCCAGGATTTAATGTCAGGGAGGCGGTTGGAGAGAGTGGCGGAGGTGATGGATTTGGTGGAGATGTAAAGCTGGCTTTAAAACTTTAAACTTTTCTGACACCTAGTGGTAGTATGTAGTAACTACCCAAGGTGACTGAAATCAATTGAACTGCATGCTGACCCATAATGACCTCCTGTGTGATGATTTCAATACAAACTCTGAGCATGACAGGAGTTCCTATCTTCCCATCAGAGTAAACAGAGCTCTCCTCTGGTTCATGTTGCTTCCCTGTTAACATAATCAGAAAAAAATCAATACTTTTTGGCACTTCAGGCTAAAACATCTCAAAATGATTTTCTGTTTATTGTTATTATTTGGATTACTCACGTTGTTTTCAAATGTTGTTTATGTTCAATCGAAGCATCCATGAATTAGACTGCATTTGAAATACACATATTTTAGAGGATTTTATGTCAATCACCCGTAATCAGTTTCCTTAACTCGTGCAGCATTTATAACAAATAGTCTGACTTGATCTAAAGATGGATGACATTAGTTTCAAGACAAATACATCTTATTTCAAGTTTTAGTCTTCAGTCTTTCAGACACTTAATGAACAATGGCTAACTTCTATGTCATTCAGAGTAGAAGACCTGTGATGCTGCAGGTACAGCGGCACTTTGGGCGAAATACCGATGTCAACATCTTAGCATACTTAACAGGTTAACTTGTTCTCATTTGTTAACTAGAAAATGTTAATTTCCTGAAGGAAATGTGTGTGTTTGCTCAATATGCTGCTGCTTGGAAGCTCAGAGTGACAGCAAGAAGTGCTGGAGATTCACATCTGAATCTCAAGTCTGAAAGTCGGTGGTAATTGAACAACACGTTGAAGAGATATGGTGGAGTTTCATTAAGGGCCACAGGGTGACGGTATTGATGCCATGCTTCAACATGTTGTGCACTTATTTATGGAGAAGCTGTGTACCAAGTTTCATCTTATTAAAGACAGGAATATGGATGTACCATGTTCTATTCTGATGGTAGTGCTCTGTCTGACCTGATGATGAAGTTAGATGAAAAGTCAGATGATCACCAAACACATTGGGATCCTCTGGGGATCATGGATGTCTGTACTAAATTTAATCTGAATCCATCTAATTACTGTTAAAAATACCAAAGTCAGCAAAGTCACTGAGATGTATCTTCTGGGGGCCATTAATATATGTACAAAGTCATGGCAATCAAATATCAGTGAAACATTTCATTTAAAAATTAAAGCTGCAAGCAGCGATGGACGGGACCTCGCACTCCACACAACTCGGGGCGTGCTGTGGCCGCGTCACGTGCCGTCGTAACACGTGCGGACCACGACATGAAAATCTCACGTAAATCAGCACAAAATCGCCACGCAGGACTTACTTCCTGTTGCCACTAGGTGGCGCTATCACTATGTGTTCAGGGCGGGACTCTTATCAGACATGTGAAGTTTGGAGCTGATTGGACAATTTACATTCAAGTTATAGCAACTTTGTGTGTTCTGGCGGTACGTCAAGGTTTGATGCCACGCCCTGTAACAAAAACTCACCACAATCAAGAAATATCATCAAGAACATGTTTTCTATTTTCTGACTAGATTTCAGCTTGATCTGATCATCCTACTAGGAGTAGAACATGGAAGTATAAAAAAAATGACATTTCCTTCGGCTACTAGGTGGCACTCTCACTTTTACTGAATATTATCACATAGACGTGTTCAGGGCGGGACTTTTATCAGACATGTGAAGTTTGGAGCCGATTGGACAATGTACACTCAAGTTATAGCAAATTCGTGTTTTGTGGCGGTACATTTCCCGCCACGCTACAGACACGCCCCCTCACCGCAGTCATCACATATAATCAACAATGTGTTTTGCATTCAGCTGGGTCTGATCATCCTGCTGGAGAAGAACATGAAAGTATAAAACGTGATACTTCCTGTTGCCACTACGTGGCGCTCTGACTATTACTGAATATTGTCACATAGACGTGTTCAGGGCGGGACTCTTATCGAACATGTGAACTTTCGTTGCAGTCGGATCATGTACGCAGAAGTTATGACAAATCCCTCTTTCATGGCGAAGGTTTGAAATTGGATGCCACGGGACGCCACGCCACGGGCACAATGTTGGACGAAAAAAACTGACTGCACTGACCAATTTTGAAGTAGATTCAATAAAACCTGTAGGAGGAGTTAGTTAAAATAGAAGCAGTGAAATGCCAAAAATGACATCACAGTGTGACATTCGTTCAAAATGGCCAACTTTGACGGCACGCCACGGACACGTCCTTCAACGTACAGTCATATATAGCACAACTTGTAATCAGCAACATTATTCAAGAGTACTGTCAAGTTTTGAAGCAGATCTGATAAATTCCCTAGGGGTTTGTTTGTTCAAATACAAGACCACAGACTTCACAATGGCCAACTTTGACGGCATGCCACGGACACACCCTTCAAAGTGGAAAAATGAACAGCGTTCATTCAGCACCATTCTGTGACTGTACTGACCAATTTTGAAGCAGATCCCAGAAATTCCCTAGGACGAGTTCGTTCAAATGCAAGGTGAAAATTCACTGAAAATGACCACGGACTTAAAAATGGCCAACTTTGACGGCACACCACGGACCAACCTTCAACGTACAGTTACAAATTGAACAGCGTTCATTCAGCACCATGTTTTGACTATACTGACCGATTTTGAAGTAGATCCGATAAATTCCCTAGGAGGAGTTCGTTCAAATACAAGCCCAAAAAGTGAAAATGACCACAAAATGATGAAAATTAAAAATTGAAATTGCAGACTTCCTGTGGGTTTTGGGGCATGGGTCCAAGAGGCTTTCCTGCTTCTTTTATCATGATACACATGCGTAGCAAATTTTCGTACATGTGGGCCTTACGTGTCTTGGGGGCTGATTCTGGGGGGCGTGGCTTAGACGGTGAAAATGTCATATCGGTATTTTTGCTACGTTTGAATTTTGTGCAAATTTTCATGGCATTTTGAGCATGTTGCGGGGGCCAAATATGTGGTAGAAGTCCCAGAGGCATAGTAATAATTCCTAGAGGAACAATAGGGTCTTTGCACTTAGTGCTCGGTCCCTAAAAAGATCAACTTTATGGTAGCATCAGACAAAAAGCCAGGGGATCAGCAAAGTAATTCAGAGACATTATCTGTGGGACATGAAGTCTGTACAAGATGAGATATTACAGTCTGGACCAAAGTGGTGGACCCACTGATTCCCAGTGGCAGCCAGATTTACTTACTGCAAGAATTTTCAGTATCTTCAGGACGTCTCATTGATTCATAAAGAGAAGTATCACCTACAGAGCAGATTCATCTTCTCAAACATATGATACAAATTAAACATCCTCTGATTATTTCTACCTGTCTTTAAAGGTGTGAATGTGTATAAACAAATATATATATGATTAGTTTCAATGCTAACCATGGAGAAGAGTGGAGTATGGCTGAGTCTCATTCTGGTTGGGCACATGATTTGTGTCGAAGTCCTGATTGATGCTCTCAGACTGGTTTGACCTACAACATGAAGCAAATACAATACATTTAAATAAGAACATGTAATGTATTGTTGTTATGTTCAAAATGAGAGAAGAGAGTGTTCAACCAACCTGATACAGCATGAACCTGTGAATAAAAAACATTTGTTGTTATTATCATTTGGTTTTGTACGTTGTAATAGTGCTATTCTATGAGAGCAGTATATGTTTGGTTGAATAATTAAAGGATAAAACATATTAGATATTAGATTATAATGGAAGAAGAAGTTCTCACCTTTGGACGGTCTGTAGCGATACAAAAGGAGCAGAAGAATAATGAGAACAATTCCACAAACCAGCCCAACAATCAATGGTACAGGAGAGGAAGAGCTTTCAGGCCTGGGAACTGCTATAATAATAAATAATACATAAGAAAAGTTAATAAACTTATATACCACTTTTCTTGAACTAAATTTACAAAGTGATTTAACAAAGATGAGTCATGTCGCATCAAGTCATAGCAAACAAAAAAACATACACATACATCTTCAGACAAAACATGTGCACATACACAACAAAAATCCCTGCTTCAATGTCCATCTGAACACTTACAGTACAATATACACAAAGATGTCAGACTACAGTGTGAAATTACCTATTCACAATAAGTCATGACTATCACAATCACTGATGCAGACTTTGTTCAGCTCAGAAGGAAACAGTTAATCCAAAAGGTGAAATCATCTGAAAAATCTTCCTCAAACAGAAACACAGTTTACATGAAAGAAAATGCAGAAAATGTTTAACCCTACTCACCATTAATTGATATCCAACTCTGTGCTGACACTTGTTGTGAGTATTGACACTTGTAGAAACCCTCATCTGACTTTGACACTGCAGAGATATTCAGCTCCCTTCTGGTATCATTTTGAATCAGTTTCTCATTTCGATAGAAAAACACATTGGACTCAAATGTTTGTCTTCTCAATCTGCAGCTCAGACTAACAGAATCTCCCTCAGTCACAGGATGGACAGGGCTCACCAGGATAGTATCTGTTTCTGTAAAAAAGTCAAAGAATATGAGGTTTCAGTCAGATCAGCTGGTTGAATTCACACATCACTGATATATTTTACAGAGTGATCATAAAGTCTGATGTTTTATCTTTTGTACATACAACTTATGTGTCTGTAAAGTATAATTTTACCAAATAAACAGCAGGTGTCTACAAGGTTCTACAAACTACACTGAAAACTTAAGTACAGATCACCCATAAAGCTACATAGATCTACTGTATACTACATCCAATCCTCATCATAATAATATGATGAAATCGTTTTCAGTGTCTGTAGGAGAGATGTGTGACTGTGCTCTCTGTGGAAACAATGAGATACAAGCTTAGACTGTAATGATGTACATGGTTAAAATTACAATAAAAGTATTTAACTGTGTTCATTAATTAATTTGATAATTATTCATATAATTGTGTTGGTGGTGGCCAGTATAAAATATTCAAAGATGATTCTTTGATTTTATACCTGATTGTAAAATAATCTTTAAAATTTAACAAATTAATTTAGAAGACAAATGGTTTATTTTCTGGAAAACATGTTGGTGTAATTTGTTTTGTGGACTAATGCACTGCTAAATGTTAGTACTACTATTACTTTATGTTATATGGTAATTAATAATGATCAAAACTAACATTGAATGTTTATAAAATAGGCTGATATGATGAAGCAATCAGTGAACTCCTCAATGTAGATGCTGTGTACAACATGATTCTAATATATGTTAAAACACATAATGTGATGTTTAAAATAATTTCTAAAGGAAAAGAAAATGTAATGAAACCATACTCTGAATAGTTACGTTGACGGCGTTGCTGAAGTCTCCTGATCCAGACTCACACCAGTACACTGCATCACTCTGCCAGAAAATGTCTATGTTGCATGTGGATCCATTCATTGTCCCCCAGGAGGAGCAGTATGAATGGTAGCTGTTCTCAGTCAACCTCCTCACTCTCCACTCAGTAGAGTTTCCCTCACAGCTCAGTGAGACAGAGTCAGAGGTGAAGTGTTGCACTCTGTCAGGACTCACTGTGAGAGACGCTGATGGATGAAAATCTGAAAAACAACATGTAATAGTGGATCAAACAGAGCACAGTGCTTTTAAGATTAATAATGTCATAATGTAAATATGTATTGCTTTTTTTATTTTTGAGGATTACTGCAAACATTGCAACACAGTGCAGTGATTTTGGTCAAACTATGATTTCCATCTTGAAAACTTTTACGACTCCATCCATACTTACACAATATTCGCAAGCACACAGGAGAATGGGAATGCAATGTGTTAGGACCCACCAGTGTGCACAAAAGGCAGACGCAGCCTCCAACAGAGCTTCCCGCTATCTGGCTACCTAACCAAGAATCTAGCTCCATAACTCCCCTCTAGTCTTCATGAGGAGGTACTCGGGCACTAATGCTGCCGCATTAGTCTCCTGAATGTGAACACCATGTTTAAAACTCGTATTACTATTACAGTAATGTAAGTAACAAAGCTTTATTTAAAAAAACTACCGTATTTTCCAGACTATAAGTTGCTCCGGAGTGTAAGTCGCATCAGTCAAAAAATGCCTCATGAAGAGGAAAAAAAAACATATATAAGTCGCACCGGACTATAAGTCGCATTTATTTATTATTATTATTTATTACTTCGGCCCATGGGGATATCAAACGCGAGGGGGACCTCGTCCATGTTGATAATATGATCCGGTGACACGTTGTGTTCAGTTACCTGCTTTTCAACAAACTCAAGAAAACTGTCAACCTTGGCTTGGAAGTCTGCTGACAGTTTCTGACACACCGTTGTCCGTTGTCCGTGCTCTGACAGAGAGGCAGTTATGTTGCATGAAGCGGTAAAACAAAGAAGGCCCGCCTGCAAAGTCATTTATATTCATCTCCTTTGCAACTACCAGGGCGTGGAGACGTAACTGCAATGTTGACAAGCCTCTCCCAGCAGCACGTTGTTCAAGCACCCATCTGTGGACTCGTTCCTCCAGCTCTGGCCATCTTGCTTTCAGCCTGCGATTAACGTACTGGCGCTAAACACCGTTCGGCTCTGAGTGCTGGTTCTTTGTTTTCTTCATTGCAGTAAGAGTAACCTCTGCTTTTCGCCAGTCCATCACAAGTTTCTCACTCCAAACTGTCTTTCTGCTGCTCGTTTACTGTTTTCGGCTGCATATTTTGCTACCATCAGTTTGTAATCTGCAGAGAATGACTTTCTTTTGGGGGGCAAATTTTGTTTGTGTCAAGCCTAGAGCGCCTTCTCGGGGCTGTGGACGGTAATGTTTAGGCTACTCCTCGTTTCATGTCGGAATTATTATTCAAAAACATGTTCACATATAAGTGGCACCTGACTATAAGTCGCAGGACCAGCCAAACTATGAAAAAAAGTGCGATTTATAGTCCGGAAAATACGGTAATCTACAAACCCCAGGCAATCAACTGGTCCTCAATCAACAGTAAGCAGATTTGAGGGGTAATAGATTACACGTAACTGAGTTACATTACCAAATCCTTCAAATTACAAACTATTAACAGTAGTTGTAGTTATTAATTTAATTATAAATCAGAATTTCAAATAGTTTAGTGTATGACTAAATCAATTAAGTTTAAGCGAAGTTTGTTTATTTTTAAATATTTTTATTGTCAGAATGTTGTGTTTTTTTTATTCCTTCAATCTTTTGCTGTGATGTCATCGGTATGTCATGATGTCAGAGATCAAAGACAATAGAATGTTTCTTTGATACAAAGGCGAACATTCTGTCTGCAGATGTATATATAGGATCGAAATCCAACATCAGTTCAGACTCACTTCGAACACAAAGACAAACACTGGAAGCACAGATTCTTCAGGACTTTGAATCCAAGGATATTAACGAGATGGATCAAGACACAATGGAGAGTCTTCGTACACACATCAGACAGTGTCTGGAGAAGCTGACAAACATAGATTGGTCGCTTCTCAAATCCGGGGTCACTTGATGCGAAGACCGAAGAGATTATTAATAACATGTGTGTGGATATCGTTAATACGATATTCATCCACATACATGGGGTGTTTAGACAGCGCGAACAGAAGGAGGGGAGACATTCCTAAATCCTCCAAAAGCTCTTCTGGGTCGGCCGGATCACAGAAGAGCCATGTATCTGAAGATGATGTCCGCGGGTGTCTGGAGGACTCCATCTCTCTGGCCTTATCCGAGGCCACCGGTGTCCCAGACATCAGTTCCCGAAGCACGGAAAAGCTGACGGACACTGTGATTACAGAGGTCACAGAGAGAGTTAATATGCTCTCTAAAACCTCTGAAAGTGGTGGAGTCATTGAGGGGAGCAGACCTCTTATCTCTCACTCCTTCACCCTGAGACTACAGGTAATGGTCCGACACGCAGCCAGAATCTTTAAAAAGTGCGCCATTAAGAAGGCCCAGCAAAGCCTCACAACGGAGGTTGCGGAAGACATCCTAACAATAGAACATTTGCCAGTGGAGGAAATTGCACTAATTGGAACGGAGGAGTCGTGCAACACCCCTGTTGTTCCTTCTCTTGATGAGACAGGAACAGAGTCTCAGATGAGCTTTGTGGACAAAACAATCAAAGTCGTAAAAATCCTGATGCAACAAAGGGCCAAGACCATAAGACCAGTTCACTATAACGTCAACATTTCGGAGGAAGAAGGCGAGATGTTTGAGTCTGAATCTTCCCAGGACGTGGAGGAGTTGGCCTCTGCGATTGTCAGGGAGACAATCGTGGAGCTTAAAATAGACTCAGAAGGTACACTGCCGGAATCGCTGGCTGTACCCGAGAAGACGTCCCACTGGAAAACAGTGGAAGCCAAAGTTAAGGCATTCTACGCTCAGCGTTATGCCATGGGGTCACTACTTGGCCTAATGGCAAAATTGAGGCGTGATTATAAATGCCCCCCCAGAAGAACCGTCTTCTGTGAGTGAGCTGATGGAGGAGGCTGATCTGGTAATTAGAAGCATCATATCATTAAATGAAGAGGATCTAAAGATGGCCACGGAAGACATGACCCCTGACGAGATAATCAATTCCGTCGGAAGCGGTCAAGACAACGCAGCTGGCATAGAGCTCGGCAATATAGTTTCCCAACACTTACAGCCAGAGGTTCCCATGGAGGACTTCCGCTTCACAATACAGGGCGACGTGGACTGCTTTATGGGGCAGATTAGGCAATGGCTTACCAGGCAGCTGATACGCCACAAAACAAAGAGGGACCACGCAAGTCTCGTCGTGAAAAAATCAGGGAGGTGATCTGTCACACGTCGCCTGCTGAGACCCCCTCAGTCGTGGGAAGTTGCGGCGCGACACCTGTAGGAAGTTGCT